TCACAGGAAATTGATACAATTAAATTAAGTGACATACAATCACAAAGCCAAATATCACATTATTAATAATAATGCATGAATGCTCTTCATCTACTCCCGTTAATTCATATAACTAGACAAGCAGACCTGCACGTCCCCATACCATGCTTATACCACTTGGTCCCCATACCATGCTTATACCACTTGGTCTCAAATGCCCATTTATATGAACTAACACCCATTTCAATCATCCCATAATTCCCCTTTTCGTAGTCATCTTGTCTAACTCCCTGTCGCCAGTCCCAAATCACCCAATAAAAACCATGTGCACTGTGGGATCCTTGAGACCTGGTGCTTACCAAAAGTTAGACTCAACTACACAAAGACTATTTTCATTACCCTCCCAAATCACCCAATAAAAACCATGTGCACTGTGGGATCCTTGAGACCTGGTGCTTACCAAAAGTTAGACTCAACTACACAAAAGACTATTTTCATTACCCTATTTTCCATCAGTATTTTCTCCACCCAACATCTTCAACTAATTTCCATGACATGATATAATTATGCATTTCACATATCCATATATCCCACAACAATGCAGCTATTTAAAATACCACCAATGCATATATAATTATGCCAACATTGTTCAAATAGTTAAGAGTACGTAAACACACCCAATACAAGGAATGTCAACCAAACTGTACCACACATAATATAATGCTCACGAAATTTAATTAAAACAATCTTTGTAAAAGGCCCCCAAGAAACCCCTACCTTGACAACTAAGCTTTTGCTAGAAATGTAAGGTGTTTTCTAGTTTTCCACCGCATTCACAAACTTAGTCTCCCACTCTTTTTCTTAACAATTCTACATTTCTCTACCTCTATTCAAAAGCTAGCTCAAAATTTTAAGAAAACACAAGCTACATTCTCTCTCTCTATGACAGAGATACAAATGGTCAGAGAATCAGGAATTACAGACTGAATTGATTCACTAATACTCTCTCTCTCTCTCTCTCTCTCCCTCTCTTCTTAATCTCATTTCAATTGCAGAATGGCCTATTTCTATTAAGGGAAAGTTGGTTGCTACTAACCTATGGCGGCTAACAAAATAGCATGTTGTCGATTTGGCATGATATTAACAAGATAAGTCTGCCAGCAACCCAAAATTATAGCATGAGGTGTCTCATGCTCTACAAAGTTAATAGATGAACTCAAGGTGATAATGCATGTAACGAATATAAGACTGCCAGGTATAAAATGTAATAGCAGGAGGTGTTGCAAATGTAATAGGATTACTACACCTTTGAACTTAGCCATTTAACATGCATGAAGTGGATGCCACATGGATAAAAAATTTATTTAATAATCAAAGAAACTAAATATTATCATAAATATATCAGTATTATTATAATAGTATTCATAATAATTAATATAGAAGTATAACAACAATATTTACATATACGTACCAAGATAATTACACACATAAATATAACCAATATATATATTTCAAAATACGGGTCTTCACAATAATCTACTTAATTACAAAGCTCACAAGAAGTTCAAAATATAAAGAAGGGAGAATTTCACTTAAACCCTTGGAGGTTTGGCATAATTATAGTCACACGCCACAAGTTTCATTTATAACAGTCACACCCCCTTATGTTAATATTAACATATTTTTAGTTAACTAACTAGGCTGGATTGACAAAATGTCAAGTATACCCGTTTGCTTTCTTCCTCCTAGTATGCAACTGGTGCTCCATAAATCTACTGCAACCCCATACTTTGAGGCTCCAACTAAAACTTATGGAGGTCCATACCAAAGAGTTTCTACATGATTGTCAATGAAACATTGTGATGAGCATCATAAAAGCTTGCCGAGCCAAAGTCTGCAAATTTCAAGATGGCACTGTTGTCAATGAGAAGATTTGACCCCTTTATGTCACGATGCAAGACATCATGACTATGAAAGTGATCAACTCCACTTAGAAGTTGCTTCATGTAACATTTGAGTAAAAGTGAAATATTTATAATAAAAAAACCCGACAATTGGATATCAAGTAACAAGCCAAGTAATAGGCTATTATATTTGCACAAATATATGGTTGGGTAATTGGGTATGTTGACACTGAATGATACTTTGAAGAACACATGCGAAAGATAGTTTGTAGAACTCGTGTGTTATTCATTGACCCAAAGTCTGCTTTTAAATAGAATTACAAGAAAATAAATTCAGAAAATAAAGCAATAGATATCCCATAACTTACAAGTATTGAACTCATAGGATTCTCTTAAGAAATAGGTAAAGCCAACGATAACATCCTATAAAATAGGAATTATTAAAAAAACAATAACTGAACTTTAGCACCCTCCCTTAAACTGAATGTTATTCAAGAAATCAGTTTAGAGAAGAACTAGAGCAAACTCTAAGTAACCCACACAACTTCACAAAAGCAGCCACTTTGAGTGGTTTAGTCTATGTTTGCAACCTGATCTTCACTTCGACAATAAACTAGATTAATAGCTCCTTCCTTTAGATTCAACCACCATCTTTTTAGATTCAAGCAAAATTACAATGTCATGCTTATAGCGCCTTAACTGACATTTCGACATCAGCCTCTTTGACTTACTGCCTAAGCCCCTAACATTCCAACTTATTATCTTCATTAAGGAGAGGTATAATCCCTATGAATTTTCCTTACCTTGCTGCTACATCCAGAAGCCACATAATCAGAGTCGCAACTCAATTTACTTGTTTTCCCACATTTCCCTTGGAAAATATTTCTCTTGAGAGGAACCATAGAAATATTCAATTTAGACATCGGATGCCTTGATTTAAGGTTAACATAAATTGGATCAGCGATGCGACAATTGAATCTTCTTATGCTGTATTTTAACTTTGGATCCTTTATGAACTCACCACCCAGATACCAGCGTCGCCATAATCAACTTCCGGCACATCAATGGGTTTGGCGGGGTCAACGAAAAGATAAGCTAAAAACCCAGGGTCGGCATCTAAAACGTCTATCTTTGCCCTTTCGTCTTCAGAATACACGTCGACTCCCTCAACATAATCCGACGATGACTACACCTCCACATCATGGTTGACAGAGTCGAGGCAAAAGGAAGAATCACTATCTCTCTCATCCACTGCCTTCGAGAGTAAAGACCCAGCCATCGTATCACCTCCAAGATCCACCAGTTTGATTTGAAGGTGCGGAACTCCCTGACTTCTTCGCCGTCTACTTCTCCCTCTCGAAGAAGAGCCAAACTTTGAATAGAAACTTGAAGTAGAGACTGATTCATATATGGATTCGGATATGGGGGATAAAGACACAATACCTTTGGTTTTTGGGTCACTTTTCATATCAAAAGCTTTAAGCCCAAAAACACACAACGTGTTGGGCCTGACAACATAAGAGGCCATAAAGCAATTCCCTTAAGTATCAACACAAATAATGCTACTCTTAATTTTTGGCCCAGACAACTTTGTTGGGCCTAATTGAACACCCAATTCACTCAAAACACTACTGGGCCCACCAAATTTAAAATGGCACATGTGAGCATCACCCCTAGGTTCACCAGCCTGGCCCCTATCTCTGTTTAAGAGTTTTTTGGGATAACCCAATTCCATCTTTGTACTAGGATCATTAATACCCACCTCTAAACTTCCAAATACCAAGGTAACCACATCTTATCCCCGAGAAGACACATTAAGCTCACCCTCACTGACCTTTTCAGCTTGATTGCCTCGTAAACCTTCCCTTTCAAATCTTCTGTTAGAGAGCAAATCGTGTTCCTTATTCTTCCATCCTCGTGCTGGAATCCAGCCATCGGTTAACTTATGCAAATTCCGATCAAAACAGAGCCCGACCTTAGCCCACTATGTGGGTCAGTAGGTTGAATATTTATTGGCAAGGGGGGTCGAATTGCAGGAGTCAAGGGCCTGATTTGGACATAATAAACCTCGTTCCGTTATGAAATTATCAAGAAGTTAGGTAGTAGGCCACAATCATTCATCCCGACTCTTAATTTTGCATTAAACAAATACTCAAATTTTTAAGTCCTACTATTGACTTCAATGAGCCATCCGTAAGCCTCACCAATTCGATTAAAAAACTTTGGGGACACCAATGTAATGGAAGCCCAGTTATTGCAACTCATCCCCCAAAGCTCACCCCCTTCGTCGAATTCCTTTTCAGACTCTACTCCTACGTAGACAGTAATAACTGAGGACAACCATCCATCACAAATTTTCCCACACCAGCAAACCACAGAGCTTCCTCTTTACTATCACAAACAAAAAAAGCTTTGTCATTCTAGTAAGGAAAGGGCTCAACCTTCTTCTCAGGGACGGGCCCACAATGGGGTCAATAGGGTCAAACGACCCTATGGACTCCATGGAAGCAAGGTAGAAGGTCCCCTTTAATGGCTGTGTGACCCCATGAATGGCTGAAGGAGAAGGTTGCTGTCTGAGGAAGAAGAAGCTGCCCAGCGCTTTTGTTTTTTTTATATTTTAAAACATGTTGGCCAAAACTGTTTTGGCCTAGCTTTAATTTTTTTTTTTTAAACATGCTGGGCAAAACGGTGTCGTTTTGGCGCAACCCCAAAAGACGTCGTTTTGGTCCAGGTCTTTTACAAAAAAAAAGAAAAAAAAAAGAACAAATTTAAAACACCCCTCCCGACTTCAGCCTTTCAAAAACCCCCATTCCTAAACCCTCAAAACTAAATCCCCAATCTCCACCCAACCCCAAACCTTTAACCGTCTCCCCCACCAAATCTTTAAGCCTCAGCTCCTCCATTCTAACTCTAAACCTAAATTACTTGAATTGAAATTGAATTTATGATTGTATTATATTGTTTTGATTTATTGGATGTTTCATTTATGAATTTTTTATGGTTAATTGGTATAAATTTGGTGTTCTCTTTAATTGATTTTAGTTATTATTTTGATTAATTTATGTAGAATTATGGAAAGATTTTTTAAGAAAACAAGGTTATGATGGAGCTAGCAATATGAGAGGTGAGTTGAATGGCCTCAAAACAAAGACTTTGAGAGAACAACCTTGTGCATATTATGTTCATTTCTTTGCTCATCAACTTCAACTAGCACTTGTTGTCGTGGCAAAGAAGAATATTGATATTGCCTCTTTCTTCACAACCACTAATAGTGTGGTTAACCATGTGGGAGCATCTTGTAAGCGGCGTGATGCACTTAGAGCGCAACTCCAAGAAGAGCTTGTGATAGCTTTTGAAAATGATTGTCTTATAACGAGGCGAGGTTTGCATCAAGAAACAAGTCTCAAACATGTCGGTGACACACAATGGAGCTCACATTACGGTACCATTATTAGCATCATTTCTATGTTTTCATATGTGATTCATGTGCTTCAAATGATTACTGATGATAATCCCAATGATAGTGCCGGTGAAGCAAATAAGATTCAAAGAGAAATGCTTACTTTTGAGTTTGTGTTTCACCTATTCTTAATGAAAGCTATATTGGGACTCACAAATGATGTGTCACAAGAATTGCAAAAGAAAGATCAAGAAATTTTGAATGCAATGGCTTTAGTGAAATTATGCAAGGAAAAGCTACATTGGATGAGGAATAATGGGTTTGATGTATTGGTTGATGAGGTGTCTTCATTTTGTGACAAACATCATATTGATGTTTCTACCATGGATGAGGCATTCATACTTCCAGGGAGGTCAAGGCGTAATGCTCCAATAAAGACAAATCGTCATCATTATCATGTGTAGCTCTTTATTTATGTCATTGATGAGCAACTTACGGAGTTAGATGATCGTTTTAATTAGGCAAATACTGAGTTGCTTATTTGTTTAACATGTTTGAGTCCGAATGATTCATTTGTAGCTTTTGATAAACAAAAGCTACTTCGTCTTGCTCAATTTTATCCTCAAGACTTTTCGGATGGGGATCTTTTGGCACTTGAAGATCAACTTGAGCTTTATATTCATTATGTGCGTTTCGAGTAGTGATTTCTCTTAATTACAAGGGATTGGTGGTCTTGCAAAAACAATGGTGGAGACAAGGATGCATCGAGCATTCAATTATGTGTATTTGCTTATCACATTGGCTTTAGTTTTACCGGTTGCAACTGCTTCAATCGAGAGAGCATTTTCCGTCATGAATATTATCAAGGGTCCACTTCGGAACAAAATAGGAGATCAATGGTTAAGTGATAGCTTACTTGTTTACGTTGAGAATGATGTTTTTGACTGTATTGAAAATGAAGCTATAATGCTACGTTTTCAAAATATGAAACCTCGTCGTGGCCAATTGTAATTTGTAATGTTGTTTTTGACATAAATTATGAATGAACGTACTATAGTTTCATTTTCAATGTTATTTTAATCTTTTTTTAAAAAAAATTAAACTTTTACACTGTGACCCTATGAGATAAGATTCATGGGTCCGCCCCTGCTTCTTCTCAAGCCAACGGGATAAGGCCGCATAAACTTCTTTCTAAGGATGGTGAACCACCTGGTCTTCACAAACCACCACACAAGCCCAAGTGAGATCACTTGTCTCGGTATCTACTTAGGGGTCGGCAGACTTCGCACCTGAACACTCCAGCTTATTCAGATATTTTGCTCCCGATATTACAATGCCTTCCACCACGTCCTTATATGTTAAGGATGAATCCCTTGTTGCGCTAACCACATTTTTATTCGCCTTTTGTTCTCCATGAAGTATGGTGGATAAACAATCCTCCAAATGTCTTCACCCCACACCTTCACACCCCCGAGGAAGAACAAAAGATGACACGGCACCATTAAAGCCTTTAGAAAGTGTCAAAAAGCAGTTATGACTTAACTGTTAAGTCCCAATGATGGTCTATGTGGTTTGACTTGGTTAACTATCATAGTTAACCGAGTTGACTATAACTTTGACCATTGACCTTGACCATGACCATTGACTTTGAATTTTTTCTCCCAAGTTTATACTTCTTGATTTGTTCATCTACCTACATTTATCGGAGTGTGATCCATAGGTTCCTTTTAGCGAGGCAGTGGGTTGTCTCAATTCCTATGATTTGATTGTGAATTAAATCCCATAATTTAATTCTTCCTATTATTGAAGGCCAATTATAATTGATCCTTACAGGACTTCCAGAAACCATAAGTGACGCATAGCAGTATGTCATGGCTATCCAAGTTAATCAGAGAAGGTGAAGAAGCTATTGACTGTGAAATTAAATCATTCTCTAATACAATAATCCTTATTCACATTATTAGGTTATGGATGCTTATGTCAAAACCTTAATGTGAATTATTATCCTTCTATATGATTGTCTTGGTTATGATTTGAAAACATCTTCTTTCAAATCATATACACTACTTTGCGTAAAGATTTGATCCATCATATCTCAGGACTCCTTATTGAGAGTAGAGATCCCTTGTAGTACATTAATTTGTCTATGTGACTTTGTTGAGAGTTCTGATAACACCTTTGGGTCACATTTTATAACACAAGTGTATGGTGTTTTCAGAGACAAACAATAGAGTCACAACACAACTATGATGTCTCAGGTATGAGTATCAGTTTACTCCATTGCAACTCATGAGTTCTAGCTTGACATGTGAGTAAAGACTTCAATTCTAGAACTCATAGTTTGATCGCGTTCAATGTACTTGTTCTCCTGCAAGCACCTACACATTTATCTTGGTGTCCCTTCACTCAATGACTCGAGACCTTGTCATCCTCCAATAGAGTAGATATAGTGTGTACTGGTCTTTGAGGAAGATCAACACCCAATTGATATAATCCTATGACTAAGAACCTTTAAGGATATGATTAGGAACCATGAGAAGTCTCAAGGTATGCAATCTCATTACATAGTTATCATGTTATTTCATATTCCTAGTACTACTATTGTTTTACATTTATGATAATAGACCAGAAATTATGATTGAAAAATAATTGTTCTTGCCCATTAATAACTTAATAAGTCTTTACAAAAGATGTCTTTCACATTAATTTAGAGTACTGCTAAACAAACCTTAAAATTAACTAAGTACACCTTACTACCAAAGTATTTATTGAATTACTAATTTACCCTAATATAAAATGACCAAAAAGGATATATTGACTTGTGAAACAATATAATTTTAATAAGTACACCCTACTCACCATATTCAACCTTAATCAAACATAGAGAAGTTTTTGCTCATGGCTGTTGTCTGCGTAGCAGTTGCTCATAAGAAGTGATAATTGATGTTATCTTCATTCTCATCTCATTGGCACCCTCGGTAGTTTTTGACATAAGATCTAGAACCCCACTCACTGGTTGTGAAGTTGCACCTATTAATCCTTTCCCAACACCTTGAACAAAACCCTCAATGCTAGAAGTTTTTACACCTTCAAGCAGCTTTGTTAATATTCGAGTGACTCCTCTGAAAAGGCCTTTTGCCAGTGCTCCACCACCATCTCTAATAACATCACCAAAGTCCTCTACGCCCTTGCTTTCTTGCCGAAGTAAACTTTTTAAATAAATTGCATCTATTGAGATTCATGAGTGTAGATATTGCAATGAGCAAGAGTTGGAAAAGTACAACACAAGGAGAGGGCATGAATTCATGTAAAAAGAGAAACCTAGTTTAGGATTGGTATTAGGGTCTTGTGTGAGAGAGTGTATTAGGGTGTACCAAGGTTATTTTTGGTAGTTAAATAGGTTGTACTTAGTTAATTTTATATTTTGATTAAAATATTAGGGTGTGATTAGATCATAGGGTGTACTCAGTTAATTTTAGGATTTATTTAAGAGCACTCTTAATTTATTACATAATTAGTTGGCTTTAAGGGCACATTACTAACATTAGGCCTTGAATATGCTTGTACATGTCCTGAATTTTTTGGGCCCAATACTAAGCAATCAAGCATTTTTATCTCTCCATGTATGTATACCATATACCATATATGTCTCAATTAAATCTTATATGTGAAACTAGTCCTATATAACTATTGCTGTCTTGTTTTGATTAAACTTGTAATTATGTGCCTATAATCTTGCAAAATTAAATAGTTGACTTAGACTAATTAGGAATGTACAATTCATTTGACACTCCCTCTCAAGTTGGAGCATGTATGTCGTCAATGCCCAGCTTGCTAAGTGAGCTGTGAAATACTCTGCCTGTGATTGCTTTGGTGAGGACATCTGCAAGTTGATCTTCGGATTTAACAAATGGTACCTCAAAGATCTTTGCCTCGAGTTTCTCCTTGATGAAATGTCTATCAACTTCAATATGCTTGGTTCTATCATGTTGCACTGGATTATGTGCGATATCTATTGCGGCTTTGTTATCACAATTGAGTTGCATGACATGTTTGGGTTTGGAACCCCAATTCCCGCAACAAATTCCTTATCCAGAGTAGCTCACATGCTCCATGTGCCATACCTCAATATTCTGCTTCAACACTTGATCTTGACACCGTTTTCTGTTTTTTTTACTTCACCAAGAGACTAGATTGCCTCCCACCAAGGTAGAGTATCCAGATGTAGATCGCCTATCAATAACACCAAGAGACTAGATTGCCTCCCACCAAGGTAGAGTATCCAGATGTAGATCGCCTATCAATAACACCAAGAGACTAGATTGCCTCCCACCAAGGTAGAGTATCCAGATGTAGATCGCCTATCAATAACACCAAGAGACTAGATTGCCTCCCACCAAGGTAGAGTATCCAGATGTAGATCGCCTATCAATAACACCAAGAGACTAGATTGCCTCCCACCAAGGTAGAGTATCCAGATGTAGATCGCCCCCCCCCCCCCCCCCCAGCCCAGTTTGCATCAGTGTGACCCTCAACATCTAGATGGTCATGTCTTGAGAACATCAATCCTCTTCCAGGAGCTGACTTCAAGTATCTCATAATTCGGTTTACAGCATTCATGTGGGCTTCAGTTGGTGCATGCATGAAATGACTCACCACATTTACGGCATATGCTATATCAGGTCTAGTGTGTCCTGGATAGATTAACTTACCCACAATACGTTGATATTTTTATTTGTTGGTGGGTACTTGATCAGGATATTCATCAAATGATGATTCAACTTTATTGGAGTATCTGTTGGTTTATTGGCTAACATTCCAACGTCAGTCAAAATGTCAAGGATAGATTTTCGTTGTGATATAAATATTCTTTGTTCTGAACAAGCCACTTCGATGCCAAAGAAATACTTTAGAGCACCAAGATCTTTCATTTCAAACTCACTTGCCAAGTGGCGCTGCAATGTTGCCTTTTCCTCTAGGTCATTCCCAGTAACTACTATGTCATCAACATATACAATAAGAGCAGTGACTTTAACTTTCTTATGTTTCAAGAAAAGAGTATGATCTGAGTTACTTTGCTTGTATCCAAAATTCTTCATTGATTTGCTGAACCTTCCAAACCATGCTATGGGTGATTGTTTCAATCTATAGAGAGACTTTCTCAGTTTACACACCATGTTGCTTGTATTGGGCCCCATCTTGCATCATGGAGGGGAATCCATATAGACTTCTTCTTCTAGGTCACCATGCAGGAAGACATTTTTGACATCAAACTGGTGTAATGGCCAGTCCATGTTTGCTCTAGAGAAAGCAATACCTGAATTGTGTTGATCTTGGGTACAGGGGCAAAGGTCTCCTCATAGTCAATCTCATAAGTCTGAGTGTAACCCTTTGCCACTAGTCTTGCTTTGTATCATTCAATGGTGTCATCTACCTTGAATTTTACCCCATATATCCATCTACA